TTTTGAAAATTAGATTATTCAGTGGACGACATATATAACGCCATTCGTGAGGAGTAGTAATGATCCAAAAGCATCCAGAATAAAACATGCAGTATGGCAATTAATTCCAGGGTGCTTGATGCTGTTGAGGTTTTTGACACTCGCTCGGATCAGAACAATCGAATGAATCCAGATAATTGTATGGTTGTCATTGAACGAACCATCTAAAAATGATTGCAGAAAACTTATAGCTGAAACTCACCGTATGTTTTTGGAGTAGTCATCCTCGTTGTTTGGCAATGGAACTCGAGAATATGAAATTAGGCAGGCAGTGGTCGGAAGAAAAGATATTACAGGATAGTGCGTAGTTTAAAACAGGATGAGGTGTTAAGTAAAGGAACAGTGAGAATTAGATCCAGATAACTATTTAGTCCTTGATTGCATTGTTAGTCAATGTATATTTACGCTATTTACAGGTCATATTTGCTAGAGCTTGATGTTTAAACAAGACTATGTTGCTGAAGCATGTAAATGCTATTACAGCTTGTTAACAAACCATCAAAGCTAATTAGTTAATATAGACGACCAGTTTTTATTATCGATTGAGCTAGTTTGTCATGAGGACTAATCAATATAACATTACAATGATGCATGTGAGCATTAATCAGAGGACTATTAGAATACAGTGTTAACATAAATATAAAATCGATCGAGAAAGTTGAAGTGGAAATAAGGATTAATAATAATAGGTTGCGTTTCTTTAGTTGGGCTCACCAATGTAGAATTATGGTCTACTACGATATTAGTACTGCTCTAATAATAGACCTAATCCTAAACTTGTCGATTTGCCATGATATAACTGCCTAATCTATAAGATCTTACGTGGAAGTCACACCATCGACTACACCAACTTACTGTATCGTATCAATTACCAATACATGATATATAAGAAGGTTAGGTTAGAGAAGGAACAATATATTTAATATGAATAGAGACCACGCCTGCATGGCCGAGCCATGCCACTCGATCAACCCCAGTCCATTCAATTCATTGTTCGCGCCTTCTTCATTCTTAGGTATTTCTCGGCGTTAAATATTGAATATTTATTTTCTGAGTAGTCTCGTGTTCACAGCTTTGTGGATTGTGTGGCTATTGTCCAATGCCACTACAAGCGTACCAAAAATGGTTACGCAGTTCTGCGTGAAAACCTTGGCTACTGTTTCCGCTGTGATGTTCGCTATCGGGATGGCTATAGGGAATCTGGTAAACCGATCTATGCATGTAAACAGATAATTAAAATCGTTCGAACGTGGTAAAGGGCCCACCAAGTCGACATGCACATGGGCAAAACGTGCATCTGGTTGCGAGAAAACACCTTTGGGTGAATTTGTGTGACGATTAACTTTTGATTGTTGGCATGCTGAACACTCTCTAAATCACTTGTGTACATCCTTCTGTAAATTCGGCCATATATATATGGCGTTGATTAACTTAATTGAAGCTTTTGCATCAGGATGAGACAACGAATGAAAGTTATTATATATCAACTGTCGCATACTTTTGGGAACAAAAGGTCGCGGCATTGCCTTAGTAGTGTCACAGTAAATTAGAATACCTTGTTTCTGCTGGAGCGAGTCTTTCCGAGAAGGCAATTGGTTTCCAGGCGTTTTTAACCAGTTGGTTAGGGGTGCCGCCTACTGCTTTATCTGAGGCATACACCATCAAAGCAGGTGGGGAAAGAGAATTCGGGTACATCAACCTAGTTGCTTGAGCCAGTTTATCTTTAAGCTATTTAATGGCTTCGACGGCGTCAGAAAACAGCTTGAATTCTTTTGGTTTTCCTTTAAGTGAATCTGTCAAAGGTTGCATTAACTGTGCACAGCCGGGTATGAATCTGCGATAAAAGTTAATTAGACCTAGAAAACTTCTCAGTTGTGTAAGAAAACTAGGTATGGGGTATTGTTTGATGGTGTCCACTTCTTTGATCGGTGTAATCCCTTCTGGGCTTATTGTGTGACCGAGAAATTCTAGAGTTCGAACACCGAAAACATACTTTGATGTATATTCATTCCATGTTCAACCAGTCTTTTTAACACTGCTCGTACATGCTGTTCGTGCGATTGTAAATCGGGCTGGCAATAAACAAATGGTCTGTATACCCCTGTGCAAACGGCATATCTCGAAGTAGGTTATCCATGAATCTTTGAAATGTTTGTGCCGCATTTCCCAGGCCAAATGGCATGCGTACAAACTCAAACAAGCCAAAAGGTGTAGTAATAGCTGTCTTGGGGGTGTCTTCATCAGCCACCGGGATATTGTGATATGCCCTGACTAAGTCAATTTTAGTAAATATGTTCATACCCCGTAAACCGTTTGTGAAATCTTGGATATGTGGTATTGGGTACCTATCTGGTACGGTTTGACGGTTGAGGGCTCTGTAATCACCGCACTGTCGCCAATGAATATCAGAGGGACAAATAATACCCAGTTGTAGCATACAGTCAAATTCGACCCTGGCGATTTTGAGCTTATCTGGTACTAGTCTTCTGGGTTTTGCAAACACAGGTGCACCTCCGGTTTCGACAGTATCACTTACTTTTAGTTTGTCTTTGGAGGGCTGTGGGTTTGGTCTAGTTAAGTATGGAAATTCCGCGAGTATATCTTGGAATTTCTCAGCTGTTACTGGAGGAGTTTGAATCAAGTTAAGAGATGCGATGTGACTTTCTTTGCCTTTTGTGTAATTTGAAGTTTCTTTCAGTGTTAAGCGTCGTTTCTTAGTGTCAGCTAGAAATTCGTATCTCTCCAGAAAGTCCATCCCCAGTATTGTCAGATCTAAATCAGCTACAGAGAAAACCCAGGGGAATCGCCTTCTGAACCCGGAATCTAGTGTTAAAGTTTTTGCCACGATTTTGGTTTTATTGGCAGCTTGCAGTGTAATTGTGGGTGTTTCGTAGTCATAACAGCGTCTATCTCCACTGGTGACCAATCCTCCAGGTTTTGGGTTTGTATTGAGTTTGACATGAGTTATGTGTTCAATATAGTAACGAAATTAGCAAGAAAAATGGGTACTACATTACGAAGGTCTACTTTTACGACTAAATAAAAATATAATATTAATAACAAAAATGAGGTTAAATTTGTATTCAGTAGGGCTAACCAGTTTCGTGCCTCTAGGTAATACTCGTGATATTGATAGAAAAAACCAGACAAGTAGTGAATAGGTCTTTATTTAAATCTTCGCGCTGTCACAGTGGAGCGTGGGATTATTTGTTCAGATAAACAAAGCCTCTCAACATTCAACACAAGATAATAGGAAATATAACGCCTACACAAAATAAGGAAGTGAATGAATACTTGAACTATACTGTTTTGACATACGCTTAGTTGTTTGAAGTGAACTCCTAACCAACCAACCTAAGCTGTTACAGACTACTTGGTTGGGGTCCACGTGACTATCGTAACCAGTGGTTGGAGACTGTGTGAAATGGCTCAGAATCGATCACAATGGCGCCGGTGTATACACTCTCTGTCTCCCCTTAGACCGTGAGAATAAAGTCGCTCTATATCTTTCTTTTTTCGGACTAATTCTTTCCTCCTTACTATACCCTTATACATAATTTTTCTTTTATATATTTCTACCATTAAGGTAACTACTCCTATGAATCCGGTGTTCATCTTGCTATGGTAATGAGGTATAGCAACTTGGGCTGATGAATATTTGTGCCTGATCGTACATTGCAGCTGAATGACTGATGTAAGAGACACAACCTTACCAAATAAAGCCAACCTTTAATACTTATATATGCAGAACTTCACTCGTAAATACTAAAAATGTTCTGTCCATCCCATACGTTCCAAAAGATTCCACTATCGTACTCCTCACTAATAAAAAGGACTTGAGTGTTTTTCTATGTGACACTCTACGTGCTTACTTTCTATTGACATTCTGTAACCAATAAAGCTTATTCAATCCCGAGGTCTCTTTCAATAGTCTAAATTCAAATTATTTTAAACCGTTTTCACTGCCCAGTTGAAGTCTTATTCGGAACTTCTACATTATATCTCCCCACGTTTAGAGGAAAATTGCTGTCCTGGGACGAGTTTAAAAGCGAGAAGCTTGAAATTTTCCTGAACTAATAAACTACTTCTGTTCAGCTTTCCTGCAAGCTTTGAATTTGCGACCTGTGTATTAAGAAAGACATGGGAAAATAAAACCATAAAATATCGATTAGGAAATGTCAAAAACAGAGCTTGAATACGCTAGGGTAACAAATCAGACTTCAGAGAATATTCTTTGGAAATAGTATGTAAACGAGCTCGAACAAAGTTCCGCACAAACTTTTTCTTGGCTAGAATCACCAAGCTGTGATACATTACGCTGAAAATAATGGTAACGGCGGTTACTTGAGAGTCGTTCAAAGGAATGTAAGACACTTATTTTAGTTCCACAGGTACCAAGTCTGACTGATCTAGGTTATACTTCAAGTCCACTTCCACTATAAACTGATTTCTTTTATGCTCATCAAGTTCCACAAGGAATATAAAAGAATCAGTCATTTCCGTGATCAAGAACGCTCTCTTCTATTACCCGAACTCTGGTCCCAGTGAATAAGTTTGCTTTTTGGCTCTCCAAGATAAGATAATATTGAAAAGAGCAAGAACAAACATTCTAGCAGAATAGCATGAATTCATTTTTAATTCGTTGGTTCTCGTCAGCTGCTTACAACCTGTGATATTTAAAATCATAATTAATGGGTTTAAATTACTTACACAAAAGAGTTTGATTGGAAGGTATATTAAGGACATATTCATATAGTATAGCGAGGGTGTAAATAAATTTAATAGACTGAATAGTGTAAATATATACCTTATGTGATGAAAGAACACTGTGACAACAGTTCAAACGGTTAGAAACAAATAAACCTTGATAGGAATAAAATGAGTAGAGTTCAGTTGATAAAATAAGATAGTTGGAATAAAACTCAATGGTGTAATAAATGTGTAATAAATATGTAGTATACATTTGAACCATCCTGTTAAATAAAGTTTGTGTCTCGCAGTACCCCGCCATGCACAAGTGTTTGCGTTTCTCCTGGTCCCCTTGTTTTTAAGTTGTTGTAGATTAAGTAATATACATCTGGAAATGGGTGATCGATACAATATTCATACCCAGTTAGAACATTTGCAGTCAAAATATGTTGGTAAGCTACATTCTGATGCCATTAATATTCTTTTTCTTTTAGGTACAGGTCATGCTGATACCACCAAATGGGAATGGCTAACAAACCAACATAGAGATAGTTGTGCATCCTATCTGGGCCACTTCGACACACTTAACTTGTTTGCTATATGCGAAAATGAGTGCAAGGCGAGAGTTCGATTTAACCTTCTCGAGAAAATGCTTCAGCCATGTGGCCCTCCTCCAGAACGTCCTGAAGCATAGTTTAATTTTTAATTCAAATACTCCATAGTGTATTCCATCAAACTACAACCTCTAACACTTGGTTTTGCCTGATAAAACCTAAATATACGAAAAACAAGATCAGAGTTCTTTTTGTGTAGTGTGTTGGGTCGCTGATCAGGAGAAGCGTCATTCCCTATGTATTCTCGTATATGCTGTACCAATTTCACTTTTAATCATCCCAATAGTTTCATTACTTATACGCAAACTCAATTTCGTTGATAGTTTGTGATATTATTTGGAGCTTGCAAGATAGATTCAGCCAACAATTTTATATAGATTAGTGATGTGGATCAACTGCTAGAATAACTTTAATAACCATTCAGTCAGTTGTTTCGAAAGTAATCGTTCGAATCAAATTATAAAATTACTGCGTTCTATGTTCTTTTTTTCATGGCAATAGCATCTATGTTTATGGGATTACTCGTACTTGTAATTGTAATTTGTAAATATTTAGAATCACAGTTCTAGCGTTTTGTCCGGTGGTTCTTCAATTGGTTTTTGTAACAAGTGACTTATGTGTTTTACGGAAAACCCATTTCAATAGCGAAGGACACCTCACACAAAACGTGTATTAGACATATCTGATTAAATAAAATGACTTCATCGGAAAACACACGTTGGCTGAGGTGGTTGTAAACCTTTATTGCGTACTCCGAGTTGGTTGGGATAAAGCTAAGAGCGGCTAAACAAAGACCGATAATTCATCAAGTCACTGATTGTTAGTCTGAAGCCTGTTAGAAGGAGCGAGTTACTTGGTTGAGGCCCGGTTAGTAGTTGTAATCAATTTCCAAAATCATAGATCGCAACGCAAAATTGGTTGCGGTTGCTTTCGTTCCCCATTTAACTGTACATCTTGATTTCATCCCATGTTTTTCCCTTCCTTTAAAATTAGTTATATTACTCGGTTTTCTGCACAAATTGGTATGATTATTTTCTTTGATTCCCATGTAAATTATTTTTCACACTTTTGCTCTAAGGATTGGCAACGTGAACCAAAACACACCCGTTACATGTCATATTTTATTAGTGACTGGTTAAGTGTTTTGGCAATCACACTCTTATGTGGAATACAGTAGTATGAAACAGCGGAATATATACTTACCTCAATGGCACATTTCTTTATTCATTGCAAATAACGGAAGCAAGGAATTTATCAACACGTACCAGCATTTCCTCGAGAACTTATGAGACAATAATAGCATTGCCTCTGTTGACCTTGCTTGGGCTGTTACCCTGTTTTTTGATATACACTTCCCGATGTAAATGACAGTTAGTGTATAATTTAAAGGTCAGGACCGGCCTGCATCAGTCTAAACTAACGGTAAGGAAATAAATAGTTGGGTGTATCAATCACTTCACTTATCCCATGTTGAGACTACTTGATTGGAGTCCTTGTGATTGACATAACCAGTGCTTAGAGACCTTGGATGATAAAGATTAGAATTGGTCATATTGTAATTTTTCAGATCCTGAGTCCCAAATCCTCATGGTTTCTTCCTCCCATATCTAACCTTTTCTATTACAAGTGGTACTGTCCTTACATCTACTATCATAGAATTTATCTCACTGTGTTAATGTGATGTGACTTCCAATTGGTCAGTCAGTAACAACGTAGAACTTCGTACGTACGTACATCAGTTCGAGTTGCCATGCCACATTAGCACAGAGATGCAGTTTTCGATTCAAATCCCGTAGTTGTAGAGGTAGTAAGAGTATAAACAGTAATCGGAAAGATTAGGGTTTGAACGTGTTATTCAAGAAGTACAATCTGGTGAAGTAAATTGGGAAAGAGAAAAAAAGGGACATGAAGAATTCAAAAGATTAGAATTTGGGAGAACACAAAAAGTGTATGCACCTGCGCCATTGCAAACGATTTTGAGCCGTGTCATTTAAGGTGATATGACTTTATTTATTTGAACACAAATGTTGGTACAAGGGGGCACCAAATATAAATGCGCCACACGAAACAATGAGAATGGGGAGATAAGAAGGTAAGGAGCGCAAACGAAAACAAAGAAGATGAACAATAAAGAACAGATTAACGTAAGGAAGTGTAATAATAATAATAACAATAATAATAATGGGGGAAACGGAAAGGTGCAACCAGAAAAAATCTTTCAGTTAAGGAAGTTCCAACCACTTTTTATGAAGAAAGTACAAGAAGGTTACAGCAGGATCGCCATCGGCTTCTATTTTGAGCCATATGTGATAACGTATCTAGCCACTGTGTTGCACCATCTCAAGGACCCCGGACAGGGAGTCTTGAACGACCAACACAAGCCAGCCCTTTGCAGCTTTCTTTCATACCCCGAAACCATGTCATACACTGACCACTTTTCCGCCTTCAACTAGTTCCAGCGTCGGCAAGTGATGCACGACGTGGAATTCTCTGGGACGACATCCGTAGAACATGTCCAAGCCACTGAAGTCGATGTCTCAAGATAGTGACATCACTTGGATTATCGTTTCTGCACCCGAACACTCGATGCAAAACCTCTGCATTACTGACATGGTGTTGCCAATGGATATCAGCAATCCCTTGGAGACAACGATGATCAAACACAGAGAGTCGTCTAACATTCTCAGCTCTGAGAGGCCAGGTTTCACAAGCATAGGGCGAAACTGCTCTCACAGACGCGTTGTAGATCCGACCTTTTACAGCCAGACTGACATCACGAAGGCGCCAAGGTAGCCCAGATTGGCATAAGCTGTTCTGGCTTTCACTATACGTGCATTGGTCTCACCACTCACACCTCCACCAGCACTTATGCAGCTACCTAGATACACGAACTTCTCGACTACTTCTATCTGCTCACCATCCAGGGTGAGTGCAGGGTTAGAATCCTGCCACTCTTGTAGAAGTACTTTTGCACTTTGAAGGTGATATGACAGCTTGAACCAATGCAAATGTGCCAGGTTCTACTCTGGTTATGACTGACCGGGAGGTAGATTTCTCATAGTTCGATAAGAAATTCTAGTAACAAGTAGCAAAAAGTATAAATACTTTGTGACAGTCTGTAACAGAGATTGGATTGTGTTGTAAATTTAACGGAATTCTATATTACTGAGTTTTAAAACCCGACAAACATCTCAACCATGTCACCTTCACCGCGTTACCGGAACGTTTTTTGTTCGCCTTGGAAGTATTCTAAAGTGGCTATTACTTAGTGATATTAAAACAAACAAAGAAAATGGTCAAGTTTAATCTGATTTGAAATAATCCGTCTTAGTACTTAGTCATGTGAAAGACTTTTCAATGGCAAACCTGACGTATTATCCTTTTTATTATCACAGGCTGTGAAATCTAACCAGATATAAATATATGTAAGATGATATACCACACTCTCTTAAAGTTTTTATTTAGCGCTTTCCTCTAAAGTTATATGAAGTATACCTCACCTAACCTACGAAATCGCTGTTTTAAATGTTCTAGGTCCTAGTTAGTCGTAGTTAAATCGACTTCAATTGTATCTGAGTTTAGTTCTTAATAAATGCTGGTCATGATATACGGAATGCCAGAAACGCTAAAGAACACTTCCTGATCATAAATTTTTTAAACTAAAGGTCAGTGGATTATTTAATTTTGCTTCAACGTAAATCGGGAAGTAAATTTTTTCGGGGTTAGAAGAAATCCTTTTGATCAAGAGATTTTCTCGTATTTTGTCTAATTAAAGCAACCCGTTCTTTGGTCTATATACTTAAGATGATATGACCTAGGGACACATGTACTTTGGTTAGGCCACCACAAAAGATAAACCGAAGTTGGAGCTAATGCTAGTATTTCATTAATAAAACTGAACGGTTTGATCTTCTCTAGAAATCAGCTTACAGCATCAACATGTATCGGTTACACAAAATGGGGCGGCTAGATTCTATCTCGATTACCATCTGTTTGATCTCCATACTAGGATATGTAACAAACTGAAGAGTGTGATGAAAAGTAATTAGCATTAGCAGGGAGAACCTTGGTTTCCCATGGAGATATTTACTAAACTACATTTTAGACTCCCCTTCACTTCTGGTCAACCTATGATAGATCACAGTTACAGGACGTTTGTGTGATTTCGAAATGATACTGTTATAATTGCAGATGTTATAGCGGGATTAACATCTGACTAAATGAATAATGGGGAATGAATGATTTGAATGCATTTTGAACATTCGTCAACTGACTAGCATAGAAGGGAGGATAGTACAATACATATATTATTAAAATAGTGATCAAGATTGTTAGGATTACAATTGGCTCTCGAAATAAATTATCGCGCGGCCATTAGGCATCATTTTGGCCTACTATGCAACAGTCACACACCATAGAGTGAACCCAAGCGTAAGATTTACGGGTCTACAGACCACATATCTATTGCCATCAATATGATCTAAATGTTCTCAGTCTGATTCTAAGTACAACGTCAAAAGTTTGCTAGCACTTATGGTATAAAGTACAACAACATATTGTACGGAAATTACCCTGAGAGTAAATAATTCGAGGACACACACTATTCCTTTTGTTTACTTGGTAAAAAAACAAATACCATACATATTTATAATCGTAGTATTTATATGACTTCAACTGTGTGTTAAGTGTACAAGCAGTACCATTTAAGTACTACATAACAGAATCTTTTAAAATAGTATTATAAGTTTGTCGAAACAGATGTCATTATGTACTTGAGTTGTTGTGGGCTTTCTTTTATTTGGTTTTAATTTGGCATACATCGTTGACTAACAAATAGTAAGTCATCGGGAATTAGGTTATGATTTTTCGATTAATCTAATTGTCTAGTAAGGTGCAATCTACTTATTGATTTGTTAGTAGGTCGTAATGTAACGGCTCAATGTTAAGTGTTTGATACTGATTTTCAATGGATTTCGTAGATTTATCTGTATAGAAAAACGATTCCAAATCACCTCATGTGGCAGTTATTATTTATTACGTTTCGTGGACTATCAACATGTCACAAGGTGGGTATTTGTAAAGTTTAAATGATTAACTTACCTCAGCTGGGCAACCATTTAGCAGGTGTCTTGTCCTCAGGAGAGCTCACGCACGATCTATCAGGGATCAGATTTGAGACAAGTTGGTGATTGAGTCTCGATAGTTGAGAAGGTAACACCGGCGTTTGAAGCGAAAGGTATTTAGTTTAAGTGTTACTGTGAAAGGTACATCCAGTACCGAATGGGACGAAGCATACCTTCTAGATTTCGCCACTATAATCCATTCATCCTATTCTCTTTCGATTTTTCTTACGGAATGATAGGGAGTGTGGAGCCATTCAGAGGAATATCTACAGTGAGAATACCAATACGGACAGGTGTTTAATCTACAGTTGTGTTTTTTTAACAAATTAAGAGTCAGGATTAGTTATTTTGCTGATAGACGATTAGATCTGTACCCCAAAATGAAATCCAATAATGTGACGTTAGTTGGAAAACTCATGCATGATAAACAGTATCCAAAATGCTGAACAGAAATCATTTTTGACAACACGATTATAAGTATTGTTGTGAACGAGGACATAGTTGGGAACAACCGATTGTATTTAAATACAAAATTACGGAATCTCCTGGTAAGATATAAGGATCATACATTGAATATTTCATTTGCAAATTTCCATCCTTTGTCCTTTACATTCTGTGTGATTCTTCCAATCCACAATTCCTTTATATTCTCTTCAACTCGATCTTCTTAGCCTTCTGCTGCCAGGTTTTCCACTTCCGATTGGTGTACCTACTACTTATGTCTATCAATATAAGTAGCACACACCATAGTATTCTTTCGGTTAGGAAAAATTCGTGTTTATTCAGTTAATCTTCAGAATAGGTTATACTTATGAATGAACTCAAAGCAGTTTTAGCGTTAACCAATGTGACATAAGTTTGTTCTTCTTTATACCACCTTTTTTACAAGTTTTCAGTGAAGATGGAGATAAGTATTTATCTCAAACCACTTTCATATATATCTATAAACTCACACATACTTTTCAACACTAGAAGACTGGTAAAACATAAAGATAAGAGTTTACCTGTTTCTTTGAATATGTCACAGAAACCTTCAGGGTTAAGGAACCTTTTGCTACTTGCAAGTAAGATCGCTTTATCT